TTTCTACCTCGGAGCCACTCGCGCCTCCCTCATGGCACGGGGCCGCAGCCAACTTCGCAAACTACTCCAAGTTCAGCGACATCATCTGGTCAATGCCGAACTGGCAGTCCGGTGGTGGGCACATTTTGACTTTTTCCACCACTACACCTCGGTGCCCATTCACACTGTCGTTCCGGCAACGGACCTATTTGCCACTGAACAGTTCTACATCCAGGAACTGCAACCGTCTCTCAATTTTGGCTTCATCGAGAAACATTTCCGGCCACGCACGGGCTTCATACGCCAATTGGACTTCTCCCAATCCCGGCACATGGGCTTCGCCACCATCTGGCGAAAACGCCGCCGACTACGACTACCCATCGCCCTACAACAGGCCTTCCTGGCCAAACGCGTGGACAACCGCCTGGATTTGTGGCGATTTTTGGGCGATCTTGGCAGCAACACTCTACGACGATTTGATGCCATCCGTTACATACGGAGCAGAGACTTCCCACCCGCCGCTCTCTATGTCCTTCATCGCATAGCCACACACCTGCCTGAACCACACCACCAGGCATGCCTTTCCGCCATTCGATCCAGTTTACGATTCCGGGGCCTCATTCCACCTGGCCCCTCCAGACCGATGCTTGCACCCTTCCTCGCCTGGCGACTACTGCTAACCTGGTACCGACAACGACAACCACACTCCTCTACCACACACCTCACAGTGGACACACTTGACACCTCTGCCATCACCCGCGTCTACAACGGACGCCGTCGCCGACACAAACCCACACAACGCACCCTGTGGCTCGACGACATCCCCGAGATCATTCAGGCCACCCTTGACATGCAGATCTTCTCTGTCGGCCTTCGTTCATTCAGGCAAACACGTGGGGCACCGATGGGATCCCCCGCGTCCCCAGCTCTCTGTTTGATGGTGATCGCGGTCGCCGAACAATGTTGGACCAACACTCACATCACATCGGGACTTCGCTCCGTTGAAGATACTCTCCTACTCCGCTACGTGGACAACAGACTCGTGATCGCAACCCCCAGGTGGCTCTCGACTCCGGCAGCCAACATACTGTGCGACGAACACTTCTATGGAGGAGACATCTTCCTGGACACAGAAGCCGCCCTGGACTTCTTGGGGTTCCGACTGAACCTCACAAGCAGCACCATCTCCTTCATCCCCTCGCATGAGAAGCACAACATGCTCTCCGTCAAGTCAGCCGCACCACTGATGCATAAGGAATCTGGATGTTATTCCGGACGCACGCTGATCAACCGAGTTTCCTTTCCTGAGTTTCAGCGAGGTCAGGGTCTTGCAATGTTGAAGAGGTTGCACCTCCAACACGGTTTCACCTTACAAAGAGAAGAAAAACCGTCCTTTGCGGAACCACACTGGTTTTCTTCTCTGCCTTTGCATCCTGACAGATTTGACCTGATTTTCGCGCCGCAGCTGTTTGACTGTTTGACCAAAATCCGTTACGAGCATGGATACCAACACAGCACGCCAGCTGCTCCAAGACTTCGAACTCATCCTTGGCATTGCCCAACAAGGCATCGCCACCATCCGCGAGTTCCCTGAGAGTCCGCCTGCCGAACCTGATTTGGCACCGGAGGCCACGCTCAACCCCGCCATTGAGGACCTCTTTGAGCCACCTCCTGATGCTCCAGATGAACACCTTCCCACTGATCATGACGAACAATTCCCTGATCATTGGGCTCCGCCCACCCCTCCTCCGTCTTCTCCCGGCGAAAAACGAGCTCGCCGCGCACGTGATTTGGCCTCCTCACGATCTACGGCATCCAAAACCTGCTCGTGGACCAAGCGAAGCTACCACATCGACCAGGACTGATGCCTCTACTGAGGCCGAACCTGAAGCCTCGCAGCCTTGGACTGAGGGAGAGATTGAACTCCTCCGTTCCCTTAAGACCAATTCCAAAGCCAAGTATGTGTGGTCAGTCATCGCCACAAGACTTTCTCGCACAATTGATGCTTGCAAGACTCAATGGGCCTTGCACAAGTGATGTCGCCCCAGTTGGGGCTCCGTGTGTGTGAAGCGTCCTGGAGCACGGACGGAAATTCCACATTGCAGGGGGACTGGAGCCGATTTGCCTATCCAGTCCAATGAAGCTACGGCATTTCGGTGGATACCGGATCTGATCAATCCGGCGTACCTGCCTATTTCCTGACCCTCTTTCCTGATTCCTTTTGCGGTTTCTGTTTGTCGCTGTTGCTTCCTGTTCGGTGTCGATGTTGTGACCTGTTGATTTGCGTTTGCATTCAAGCATTTTTACTGACTGCGTTTTTCATCTCGGCTAGTGAAGCCTCTCGAGATAAGTGTGTGTCTGTGTGCGTGTGTGCTTCCTTGTTCTCGTTGCTCCATGTGTTCGTTTGTAAGATTGATTGCTTAGTTCCTTGTTGGCACGTGTGGTTTATTGCATGGTTCATTTAATTCCTAATTTGTTGACTCATCGATTGGTTTATTGGCTGGTTGATTGATCGATTGGTTTATTCGCTGGTTGATTGATCGATTGTTTGATTGTTTGGTTGCTTGATTGATCGGTTCATTGATTAACCGGACGACCAACCGACTGACTGACTGAGGTTGAATTGATATGGATAGTGGTGTCGGTTTGCTTGTTTGTTTATTTCATTCTTTGCTTGCTTGCTTACGTGCTTGTTTTCCTGATTGCTCTCTTGCCTATTGATTTGGTTTGGTTTGGTTGGTGTCTTGTTGTGTTTGCTTGAATTGGATGGATGGTTGGTTGGTTGGCTGGCTGGTTGGTTGGCGTTTGATTGCCTGCTTGCCCGCTTGATTTATTCAATGTTTCCTTGCTTGTGCTCTTGTGTGCTTGTGTGCTTGCTTGCTTGCCTTATTGCTGGCTGACAGGCTGGCTGGCTGGCTGGCTTGGCTAGGCTCGATTGCTTTGCTTGCTTTTATTGCTTGCTTGCTTGCTTGGTAATGTATGCTCGGATGTTTGTTGCTCCGTGTCAATGTCTGTGTGTGTGTGTGTGCTTGTTTGTTTGCTTGCTTGATTGGTTTTTGGTTCGATTGTTTGTTTGTTTGCTTGCTTGTTTGGTTGGTTGGTTGTTTGTCTGTTGGTTTGTTGGTTTGTTGGGTTGTTTGTTTGTTCGTTTGTTTGGTTGGTTGTGTGTTTGCTTGTTTGTTTGTTTGTTTGTTTGTTTGTTTGATTGTTTGGTTGGTTGGTTGTTTGTTTGTTTGTTGGATTGTTTGTTTGTTCGCTTGTTTGTTTGGTTGGCTGGTTGTTGGGTTGTTGGATTGTTTGTTTGTTTGTTTGTTTGTTCGTTCGTTCGTTCGTTCGGTTGGTTGTTGGTTTGTTGGTTTGTTGGTTTGTTGGTTTGTTGGTTTGTTGGTTTGTTGGTTTATTGGTTTGTTTGTTTGTTTGTTGGGCTTTTTGTTTGTTGGTTTGTTGGATTGTTTTGTTTGTTCGTTCGTTCGTTTGGTTGTTGCGTATGTGATTGTTGCTCCTTGGACTGTCTGCCTGGCTGACTCGCTCTTGCGCAGGTCTTCCTCCGGATCTGAAATCCGCCTGTCTAGGCACCGGCGCTAAAGGCTCAGGGCTCAAAGCCGGGGCTTGCGATGCGGCTTTGAAGGGATCTGATGGAGTCCTCATGAGCACAGGTGTCCTTTTGGGAAAATAGATGGCCCTGGTACATGGAAACCAACCTAAGCCACCATCTATTTCTAGCCAAAATTACCCAAAAAGGACCTCTGGGTTCCCCCTGGTTTCCCTCTGAACTAAAGGGGAGGGTACTTCGCGAACTTCTCTCTCAAAGCAACGGGGCGGCTTTCACACGAACGTGCCCACGAAGCGCATGCAAACCCCGGGGCATACGCCCAAGCTCATGGAGCAGCCGGTGCGTTCATCGCGAGGAACGCGAGGATCAAAACTTGCGAGCAAACTCAAGCAACACCACTCGGTTGCGAAATCTGCGAAGCCCGGCTAAAAGTGAATAACTTTTAGTGGCTTAATACGGAAAACCCATTTGTTGGCAAAAAGTTGAAGTCCTAAAAGACAAGCAACATGCACGAAAGACCAGTCAGGGCATGCCGAATGCTGTGTACAAATCTCCCAGACAAGTCATTGCATGTTGACTGATCTTTTAACCCCTAAGACTGTCCCCTCCCCCGCGTTTCGTTTATTTTAGGCCATGGGTCAAAATCCCGTACCCCACGTGAACATCCCAATCCCCACTAAAATAGACTGTGCACCTACCCCAAAATGGTACCATTGGTTTTGACCCACAGCCTTTTACATCGCAGGGGAAATCTTAATGCTCGGAGCGCAGACCCGGCTGCCGCACAAAAGGCCATGGCTTTGACGGACAAGCCCCAGGTTCCTGTGACACGAGGTGACACCTCGATGCACCTTCAGCTGGAGTTCGGTGATGTTTTGACCAAGGAGGGGAAATACACAAAGCGGGAGCTGGATCTTTCACCGCTAAACAAATATAAATTGTGGTTGTCTGAATCCTGAAGCAGGCCCAAGCATGCGCCAGCATGCCCTAGCATGCGCCTGGCAGGTGGACAAGTGCACCAGGAACATGCCGGCCAACTCTCCCTAGGCTCTACGCAATTCGATCAGGATGAACTTTCTGTCACGCACTGGCCCTAGCCGCAATGGCTTCAATCCATTTCCAGTAATCCGAGCTAAGCCATTTGGCGAACGAGGGCTTGTCTCAAATATGGAACCCCAACATCCCCAACCAAAGAATTGGTGGTTCGCTTCGCTTGCACGCCCCTTTCAAGGGTGCCAAAATACATACAGGCCCATGTCATGCCATCTCATGCATCAATTGCATACGCAAATACGGGACCCCTCAATGTCTTCCTCTGGCCAAAAGGCCAACCCACTGCAGCAGGGGGGTCTTTGTGCCACCTTTGCTGGAAAAAAATCATCGACCCCCTTGTAGTGAATCATTCCTTGTTGAGGGGGTCACCAATTTTCTCACAAGAGGTGGCAAAACGACCCCCCGCATTGCACCATCATGGCAATTCCGACCCGCTCACCACCGCGGAGAGACGAAGCTTCACGGGCAGTCCGCAGGCGAGCCTCGGATTCCACAACAACTTGGTGAGCGCCGGCGGCTATAAAATGGCACAACTCCTATGACCAAATTTGGAGTACATGACCCCTCTGGTTAAACTCAATTTGATTCAAACTGCCGGCTTCGTCCCTACAAATCCCAACTTGCCAGAGATCTCCCTGCAACAAAACCTTTCATGCAAGGCTGTCCCATGCCGCGCACCCCAAACGCGCCGGGGGGGGGATCAAAATCTTTGTATCTGCACAAGGTGGGCAATGGGTAGCTGCACCTGTGCCTGGTTGAGCGCCTGGAGACCTTGCAAGCTTGCATCCCTACGGGTAAGGGATCTGTTGGCCATAAGCTTGCGCACTAGGCAGGTGTGGGCCGGCTGCATCTTTTCCATAGCTCACTTTTTAGGAAGCTCTCCGAGGACCCTGCAAAAAATTGAGTACCTCGCAATGATTGACCAGAACGCACCTGGGACCCTGCGTGTTAGAAATATTTCTGGCGCCGCTGCCATAGTTCACTCCATGCCGCCCAAGCGATTCTTGGCCATTCCCCCACCCTGCAAACAAAAGACAAATACTCAAATACTGGGTCCTTTTGGTTAAGTTGTCCCGCGAGCACGATCTTTTGTCGCAAGCGGCGTGCCAGTGGGGAAAAGCTACTGGAATCGTTTTTCTGCTGTAATTTATTGATGTATGACATAAAGCCACTTTGAGAGAAAGCGAATGGGCGCACTCGTTTAGACGTTGCTGACGACGCAAGTGCAACCCCACCAATCCCACCCCATGCAAAGCCAAGGGTCTGGTGTGCCATGTGTGACCGGATGCTTTGAGGGGTGTTTGGCGAAGGGGCACTGTTGAATGTGAACAGCCATTCCTGTCGCACAACGCGATGGCACACTGCCTCTGGTCAAGAAAGATGAAGAGAACAAAGAAAGAAAGAAGGAAGGAAGGAAGGAAGGAAAGGAAAGAAAGAAAGAAAGAAAGAAAGAAAGAAAGAAAGAAAGAAAGAAAGACAGAAAGGAAGGAAGGAAGGAAGGAAAGGAAAGAAAGAAAGAAAGAAAGAAAGAAAGAAAGAAAGAAAGAAAGAAAGAAAGAAAGAAAGAAAGAAAGGAAGGAAGGAAGGAAGGAAGGCAGGAAAGAAGGAAAGAAAGAAAGAAAGAAAGAAAGAAAGAAAGAAAGAAAGAAAGAAAGAAAGAAAGAAAGAAAGAAACACATAAAGAAAGAAAGACATAAAGAAAAGGAAGACAAACAAACAGAAAGAAAGAATAAATAATAAGAAAAACAACCAACAAACACAAGAGATGACGACATGGCAATACAAAAATATCTTGCGGCTTGCGTAGGGCTCCTTCTTTGAAACGCTAAACTCGGTGTGCCACGCAGCAAGCACCTGTTGAGCACATTGGCTTGCAATTGCTTTGGAACAGTATTGTTTTTAAACGTATAGGGGCGGCAATGCAGCACATGCGGGCGCATTGTGGCATACCATGCACGTGTGTGGACGAGGTTCGGACAATTTTTAAGCTCACAGTCTAGCTCAAACACGCAGAAGCTCATGTGAAAACGCATCGGCAAAAAATAATATCGACCTTGGCTTGGACACCTTTCAAAGCAGGTGAAATGCAGCGTGCCATTGTGAAACTTTCTGCCGGACGGTAAGCGTTTTACATAATTGTTGGAGCCTTCAACCGGCCCTCAAGGCATTGGCCGCACAGTGCCCAGCGGTGAGATGTGGGGTGACGGAGTGCGAACGCGCGCGGGGTCGACGCGGCCATAGTGTTGATCCCTCCGTGTGCTCTCAAACACGGAAACACTGAAGTGCCAACTGCGCACTGTGCTGTAGGACCACGTTCTTCCAGCTTGGTATTTCGGAAATACTGTACGTAGGTCGGGCAAGGAACATGGGTATGTATCCCAACATGGCTGGTGTCCTTTTGGTGCCCTCAAAGAGCAAGCTTCACTGACCCTCGAAACCGGCGGCCTGGCACACCAGGCCACCACCGACCGATGAGACATACGCAAGCGCCATGATGCTTCGTGCATCCCAGACACTTGTGCACAACGTCAGGCCTCAGTTCCGAAATCTGAAGCTCCCAGGAAGTGACCAAGCACTGTGAGTTATTTGGGGAATTCACTGCCTGCTGGTCAGCTGCAGCCATGGGAGGAGGTTTGGGGGACATCCACCGTCCCAACTGGTGTCACTTCCCAGGTGGATTGGTAAGAAAGCTCGCCATAAACTGCTTAAGTGAAAATTGTTGTATGCGACTACATTGGCCTTCCCCTTCAAATCTAAACATCTGGCTCCGGGGGCGAGCTGTTCCAATGAAGGCTCATGAGGCCAGGTTGATGCCAGGTTTCTCATGAAGCAGAGGTTCCTCCATCCATATCACAAGCACGTCCCGGCATTCAGAAAGGCCACCTGCCCAACGCAAATACAAGGCACCATGAGCCCAAACACAACTGAAGCCAAAAAGCCAAGCCAGCAAACCAACAAAGGAAAATACTAAGCCGAAAAAAATGAACAGCAAGCCAAGAACACTGCCAGCCAAACAAAAGAGGCCCGGAAAGTTGAAGAACTCGGTAAACACTGGCCCACTAGATGCCTGAATGCCAGGCACGTTCACTCACCTTTCCCAACTTCACCGAAGATGCAGGAAAAGATGTGAAGTAGCCTTTTTAAACGAACATCCTTGAGCATGGCAAAGCGCTCCAAAGCATCACTTTGCACATGGTGCTCTGAGGGGTAAGTGTGCAATCCTAGCCTGGGCAAAAGTAGGCACTGCGACACGCTTCCCTTTCTGTGGGGCGGCCGCCGTCCACCCAACTGCAACCTACAAATGTTTTGCGGATCCTGGAACAAAGTGAACACATACTTGTCCAGTGATAGATTCAGCAACAGGGGACGATCACAAATACTCCCCTACAAATCTACCTGGCCCCCCCAAAATGGGGGGTCCCCCAAAAGAGGATCCCTCTAAAACAAACCTGTGGTTTCTTTCCATCTCAAGATGGGCACATATCAGAAGGGCTATAATGACGTCCTGTGGTCTTTCTTTGGGCTTCCATGGGCCCCATCCTCAGGCCACAGGTTCCGAGCCAAAAACGCCGAGGGGCGGAAGCTTGGGCATCGGCGCCGGGAGCGAAGCCAGCGAAGGCTTGGAAGCCGCTTCCGTCCAGGCGTCCGGAGGCTGCGGCACGGCCACCTGCCTCGAGAGGTCGACTTCCCGCGGAACGCCCCGCCGTTTTCGGTGGCACCGGACAGGGAAGCGGGTTTTTCAAGAAGGAAACTCATCTTCCACGTACCCTCCCGCAACTGCCTCTTGGACACGTGAGATTCTGACTTTTCAAGGTCCTGAGGTAGGAACCCTGCAGTATAGTAAACCTTAGGCTAATCTGTCACTGGAAATGGTTTGGATTCTTTTCTAGGGCTTGAGTCCTTGTCCATTCTTTTCTACCATTGTTCTTTTCAAAAACCGGCTGTTTCTCCTGGGTTTTGGATGGTTTCCTGAAAAGAAGGATCCCTGGAAGGAATGGTTGGAAGGTACCCCTAGATCTTCTCAAGGCGACTTAAGCAAACGGGAGCGAGAGGCCAGCTGCTTCCACCTTGGCTTGATTTGTTGACCTGTCCCAATAGGTGCGGGCACACCCCCAGGACCAAATCAACCAGGGGTTTGTTATAATCCGGGGCTAACATTTGCCCCAAACCCCTGGCTCCCCGGCCGGTACCATTTTTCTGCTGCTTGGTTAAGACAATGTGTGCCATCCAGACGGCACTTTCTTGCGAAACCACACTTTTGCAAGTTGAGCATTGCAGGCGGCCGGCTGCCAAATCGAAACGGCTCTTTTACCCGTCCAAACGGCAACTTTTCCCGTCCAAGCGGCGACTTTTCCCGACCGTTGGACTGTCATTTTGTGCAACGGCTGTGTTTCAGGCAAACCGCCGTGTTTTGTTTGTTTCTCTCTCCGCGAAACGGCAGAAAATACGGCCTGTTCGCCCAACGGCCAAAAATGTACCCTCCGGAAGTCGCAGGTATGTCTGTGTGTTGCATGCCCGGGGAACATGGAACGCATTGTGCGAAACGCACAGCTCCGCAGCCCAGCATTGAGAAGCTTCGGTCTGAAAGTGCTCTGCAGCCTTCCGCATGTACTTCACCCTTCACTTTATATACTGAAAGTCAGGTAGCAGTCGGTGTGTTGTGTTCTGCGTGCACTGCGGCACTGGGACTGCTCAACATTTTCTCAGCTTCATACGGATTGCCTAGAGCATCTCGGAATTTGCGGTCACCGCAAAAGTTGAAGTGGCACAGTCTTGGTGTATGCACATGCAGACTTTCTTGACTGGTTTGAGCTTCAATGCTCTCAAAGAAGGACTTTTCTACTGGGTGCGTATATGTGTCTGGCAAAACCTTGAAAAATGTGCATATATATATATATACTCGGTTGCTTGCTGCTCCCCTCCTAAAAGTTTAACTTTTAGTTGTTTAATGGAAACCACTTTAGTTGGCAAAAAGTTGAAGTCCTAACGTCCAAGCAAAATGCACCAAAGTATATATATATATATATATATGTATACCCGTTTGGTTTCCTTTTGGGAAGGTCGACAACTAGTGGACATTTAACACCCCATCAAGATGCATTGGACGGAACTCGAAGCACGGGGCCTGCTCGTCCGTCGAGAGGCTGCATAGACATAGGCCACACCACCTCAACGCGGTGTTGGGTGTACTTGCGAGGCGCCGCAACCCGCGACGAAATAACAAGTTCGCCTTGCAACCTATTGGCGTCTTTTTGTTAGGTGCCCCCTCCAGATTTGGTGGTTTCCCTCTTGATTTCCCTGCAAAACCACCCGCACAAGGGTAGTTACCCCCAAGCAAACGCACACCTCATACGGCTTCAAATACAAACGAAACTCCTAGGGCACCCTCCAAAAAAGACACCCCCCTTTTGTACTTAACGTCTGGAACTGGGCCACCGAAAGCGCAGAGCAGCAGCGAGACGCAGAGGATGGTCAAAATGACGAAGCCCAGATCATCTGAATCACCTTCACTTGTGACCACTTCAGGCGGAGCCGTAACGGTGCTGTTCCTGGATGCGGCACATGTAACCGGCCTGTGGTTGCAAACTGAAATAGCCCATCTGAACTGAAACCAGTGCCAGGCCATTCCAAACTGCCCACCCGAAGTACCAGTACATGTCACATGCATAGGTCCTTCTAGGTCAATTTGGACTAGAGTAGAGGATCCCTTCGTAGGGCTCTACTCATCCCATTGGCGCGAAATGAACTTGGCACATCCACAGATCGAAACTGCTTGAATCCCACGGGGATTCAAAAAGGCGGGTTTGCCATGGGCGATTGAACAAGCATTCAGTCGCAGAAGCCATCCGGCTGAAAGCAGCACCAGAATTGTCCAGGGCATTGGTGCGGCATGTGAACACATTCGGAACCTCCTCTAGGTCCTCCAGTCGAGGGGTTAGAATAAGGGTACCCGTTTTTCTGTAGTCTATTTTGGTAGGGAACCCTCCCCCAAAAAAGAAACGGCAAAAGGGCACTACTGGGGGACCTAGTCCTTAGTCTTCAGCCATGACGCAGCTGTTGTCGCCAAGGTTCCCTTTTAGCCATGCCGGACAAGAGGAACTGAATCCCCACTCCCAAACATCATGAGGGCTCCCCATGTCCATGTGTTCAATTCATTCGATCAACGGAACCTGAGACATATACACAGAAAAAGGGGGCCCTGAAAGGATATGAATATTTGACCCCACTCAGGACATTGGGGTTTCAAAAGGGGCTTCCGAAATCCATTGTTGGGTTTCTGAAACCCATTGTAAGACACCCCTAAATTGGGCATGTGTCAAAGGGTACCCCACAAAACGGATTTCGGCTTCCCGTGAGTTTCCCTTTCCACCAGCGCGACCCTCTGAAGGACGGGGTAAAATCCCGTACCCCCCAGTGAACATCCCAATCCCAACTAAAATTTAGACTAAAATGGGTGGTGAATTCACCTACCCCAAAATGGGATCCCAAAACGGTTTGGACAACCACGGCCGCATCAGTTCGGAGGGGATCGCATCCATCAATTCGATCTCCTGATGTAGCTGGCCACCGTGACAGGGGCCGGGAGCTTGGCGTCTTTCGGGTCTGTCAGCTTGCCAATGGAGGCCTGAGGGGGTTGAGGGGGTCTCAGTTGTTCAGTGACCCTGGGAAAAAATGGAACCCTTTTTAGCAAGACAATTTTTAGTGGGGCAGCCACCAAAAAAAAAGAGGGGAGAAAGGGTGCCACTGCGCCTAGGGTGGTCAATGCAAAGAGCGTTACTGGGGGGTGAACTAATTTGGGGAAGGGGGGGTTGTGCTAATTTGGGTCGCGCAGCCTGAAAGTTTGAAAGGCGCCGTTCAGAAAAAGCAACTCGCTCCGGACCCACACAGCGTCTAGATCAATGCGTTCTTCTGTGTTGCCTTGGCGGCGTCACTGGTCTGCTGGGTGTATCATTGTAGATCCCCAGAAAGGAGCCAACGCCAAGAAAGGTGCTTGAAAAGAAGGATGGTTGGAAAGAATGGAAACAGAATCACCCCCTAGATACTCACTTGCCCAAAGGACCTGCAAATAAAATGTGATCACCTTTTGGGACCTCTACTAAAAATAGACCATAGTTGTTGAAGGGGTCCCTGGCTTTTCTTGGTTGACGTTGGAAGGGGAGATAAAATTCAAATTTTAGTTAAGTGGATTTGGATTTCAACCACTAAGCCACAATAAGCAAACATGTAAAAGCCGTTTCCCAACGACAACGCCGCGAAATTTGTTTACCTCTCCCGTCTCACCCGCTTCGGCTCGCAAAACGCGCTCGGCCTCCAAGACCGCCTCCGGCAGGGCGGTGCTGGTGGTGGCCCGAGCCGTCATCAAGACCTCCGCTGGCCCGCTGGCATCGCCGGCCTGAAAGCGTTCCATTTGCTTAAGCCCCTGGAAATGTGTTTTATATATATATATATATATGTCCAGTAGTCACAGATTCCCTTTAAAACCCAAAGGGAATCAAAAATAGTCTTAAGCAAATGGAAGCGGTGTTTAAAAAGGCCAAGGTCATGGACAAAAGTGACAAAAACAAAGCTGGGCGCCTGAAAACCTCCATTTGCTTCTCTACTTGTTTCTTGTTGTTTCTCTGGTTTCTATTTGTTTTCGCTATTTGCTGCAGGGTTGTGGGAAATGGAACCCGCTTCTGTGATACAGAAAGGGCCTCCCAAAGACTAAACCCCCATATACAGGGGCAAATGCCCGAAGATGTCACAGAAGAAACCCCGAGTGATCCCACAATTCTGATTTGCTTCCTTCTTTCAGTTTTGTTTATTCGCGTAATCCAAGGAGTCCTATGTCCATTTGCTTGAGCCCCCTGGTAAAAATACAAAACCATATGTCCAGTTGTGATAGATTCCCTTTAAAAACAACAACAAAAAAGAGCAAACAAAAAAACAACTATTCTCATAAGCAAATGGAAGAAAATGGTTGAGGTTCCGCGCAAAGAAAAGGCTTTCCGAGATCCATGTTGATCAATTGACTCTCAGAAGGACCAACTCGGAAACAAGAAACTGGCTTCCTTCAAGGATACATCCAAAACCCACCCGCTTTACAAGAGATACTCTGAAGTAGCCGGCGACATGTGATTTCTTAGCTGGCCCACATGTGAACTATTTTCACGGGCCCAGAGAAAGCAGGATGGGCAAGTGATGGGATGAATTCTCCGTGGTCCATTGAGACCAATATGTCTGTTCCCTGCCTGCACAACACACCTGTGGTTACCGCAAAGTGGGGAACCCGGCGAGTCTCTCGATGGCTTTAAATGGAAACGAAGTGAAATCGTGTGGCCCGAAAGAAATGATCCCCAAATGGGTTGCCATGTTCAGCCCCTAACTTGGCGCCCTCAAAGGCACTCTGAATGGGTCCTCAACGAAAAAGCGAGCTGGCTACAGCTTGGCTGTACCACCCACCCCTTCTTCTGCCCAATCACCCGCACATGGCGAAGTGGCGGGGGAAATTGTTTGGCACATTTTGGCTGGCAATCCAGAAGGACATCAATCAATTGAAGAAGTTCCAACTTAAGGTATCGTTTTCTTGGGGGGGGGGGCAAGAGGCGATCGCATTCGTTCCCCCCACTCGAAATATCCAAGTCCCTGCGAACGCGGCACCGTTCTTCGGGTTTGGATCATCGAACTCACAGAAGGGGTTTTGTTCGGAGAGCGTCTGAGGATGCGTTTGGTCAAACGAAAGCATGTTTTCAAGTGTTGGGTCAACGCCAACGAAATGTTGCTTAACTGGTGAAAGGTTCCTACATCCTGAAGGTCTTCACCCGGCTGAAAACCAGATGATCGTTCAAAAAACGAGTTTGGACCCTCATGCTTCGCTTTGCCACCCAAAAACGCATAAAACAACTCCCGACCAAACTTGGCCGGCTTGCCGTTGTCCCACCTTTTACACCCGGCCCCGATGTTTCAGCCCGTGTTCCCACTTGGCCATGGGTCAAAATCCCGTACCCCCAGTGAACAAATCAATCCCCACCAAAGTAGACCAAAATGGGTGGTGCACCTTCCCCAAAATGGTACCATTGGTTTTGACCCACACGCAGTTCTTTCCGGGCCGAGCGGCAGGGCGATTCGCGATGAGCCCGGCGTCCACGGCTTGTCGCTGCGCGTCGTTGAGGCAGGCGCAAAGGCACGAGGCTTGGGCGTAAGGCCCCCCCTCGCAGTGCACGGCGCAGGCCCACTCGAAGGCCTTGCCGTCCTGAGAGCAAGGGATGGTGATCGAAACCCCCGGGAATTCCCCAAAAACCTGGGCTTGTCTTGAGCATAGGTGGCCTTTTGGAGAAATAGATGGCGCTAGTGAATGGAAGAAACCCCATGTAAACCACGAATCAATTTCTGTTTTTAAGCAAACCAACCAAAAAGGACACCTATGGGAAATTCGGGGTATTGGCTTTCCTGTGAGAAGGTTTGCCCCCCTTTTCAGGGTAACCGGATCAAAAAAAAAACAAAAAAACAGAAGCACAAGGAGATCACCGGCCCGGCCGGCAAGACCCTGAGTGGGAGCCCCAAAACGGGAAAGAAAGCATTTTGGTCAAAAGGTTGTTGCCAAAGGGGCCAGTGAGTTGGTGCTAAGGGAAATGAAAGGACACTGCCCCACCCCAGAGACAAAAGGACCCAGGTTGGCAAACCGAATGTGAGCCGCGAGCCGCCCTCACAATTCTTAGGGCACCAAAAGGCCACGGTATCGCGATCCGCCGAGAACCCTACGACATTTGCCCCAAAAAAACCTCGAAGGCAAGCCCACGGCCTAGATTGAGGCATGTGTCCGTGGGGGGAAATTTTGAGATGGATTCCACGGACGGATTTTGAACCAGACTGCCATTGGAGACCATCCATATTTTTCCAACTGACCTGAAAGGGACACCTGCAAATGCATAGAATCCACTTTGCACCGGCGATGTGTGATGGATGAAACCCTCTGAACGCTAGTGACCCACATGAAAAACCATGTAGAGAATTACAAGGCGGATATCCGCACCCATTTATGGCTGGGATTGCTCCTTGTCCTCCAATTACACGGGGTTTGATTATGGCTCACATTGCTTTCGCTCCTCTTACCCCCATAGGCAGCCTCCATTTCCTTTTCCGTCCTGGAAAAATACACATATTTCTCCAGTAGTGATAGCTTCCCTTCAAGACCAACAGGGCAAAATAATCAAAACAAAACAAATAATAACAATATTCATAGTACTAACGACAAAAACATACCCAAGGCCTGAAGTAAAGAATCCCCGTGCAAACGAGCTATCTTTCTCTCTTCTTACCAAAGGCAAACAGTTCCCTTGCCGTGAAGCGTCAGTGGCATCCCGGAAGCCTGGTCGGCATTGGGGAACCACCGGCGCCTGAGCCACGCTGCTTGGGAGCAGCGCAAGCGCGGCCAAAAGCCAACGCATGGCTCGCCGCTCTGAGCCAAAAGCGCCAGGAATCCAACTCGGTCGTTGAAGCCGAAAAGACTTGCCCTGATAGTGGGTTCAGGGGGACCGGGAGCCAAATGAAGTTTAGGAACCTGACAATCGTCCAAGAAATACGTGTCCAAAGGACCTCGAAAGATAAAGCAAATGTCAGAACATGGGGAAGGAATCGTGTACTTTCACTCCTCGTTCGCACACGAAAGCATGGATCATCAAAGTGCACGCACCATCTTTCCAAATCCGGGCCTACGGCGGTCCCAAAAATGCGGAATTCAAGCGCGAACCGTCGCGCCTCACAACGCCTTGCAAGTTTCGGGGCCGTGAACCTTGGCAATTTGCACGGGTACCCCAAACTAACAATCGCAAGAATCACTGTGCCAGCTAAACCGAAGAACGTTCACCGCGGGTGAGGTTGCAAGCAGTGCGTGTGAGAATCGTTACTGAGCCAGTTTGAAGCCAAGGTTAGCTTACCATAGTAGCCCCAGTTCCAATTATGTAGTCTTCATCTGCCCCTGCGAAACAAAATGGGGCCGCAACTCGACATATGCAATTCTAGGGCTCCCTCAGTGACTCAGGCGTGAGGTTTCCGAACAGCGAAGAGCGAGCGAAGAGCGAGCGGCTCGGGCGAATCGTGGTGGCACCTTTGGTTTCCTAAAGCAACTCCGGAATGGACATCTATGGCTGTGGTTGGTCGAAAGCCGGCACGAAAGGCTGACCGTTTCACAGTCAAATCAATGCAGCGACTTGTCGATGTTTGGGCCAAGATCCCAGCTGTTGACTGCTTGTAACTGCACAAATGCCGCCAGTGTTTTGAGAACTATCCTTTGCAATGCCACTCGTGGGAAAAAGACCCGGTTTACAAAGCAAGCCGCACATTGGTCACGGGCAATACTGCCACTCCAAAAACAACAACAACAAAAACAACAACACAATAAACGAACCGAGGGTGTTTGAGCTTCTGTCTCCTCTGAACGGAGCGTTCAAACGAGGAAGTGCATCCCTTCCACTGCCAGCAGGTTTATAGGGGGGCTTTTTTTGAATTGCTCAGTTGAAGGGGAAAACAAAAGGAAATCACATTTATTTAGGGGGCCCCTGGAGAAAGACAGACCTTTTCTTACCCCTACTGCGAAACTGAGGATGTGTACTTTGCAATTTTGCTGCCTTTATAAAGATACGCCCAACTAATTGATGCTCAACTGTGCCTACATTGCAACGAAATGCGTTGACAAGGACACACTCCTTGCTGCCTTTCGCTGAGGGCACTATTTCAGGTGGCCTCATGGTATCTTCGGATCAATGGACCGCTGCAAGCATACAAAACCCCTCAGGGCATCCCTTCGGCCAAATCCTTGCGATACCCAGATACTAGATCGACGTGCATGCTTGCCTTCTTCCCGGTGACGTTGCAGCACTCCCCTGATTGAACAGGCGCCAAGCACTCGAGCCCAAGTCAGAATGTGCGGTTCCCGTAAAAGACAAGGACCATTTCCTGCTCGTCGCCTGGTCTTGGTAAGCATTTAGAGCTCGCCCCCCACGTCCTCCCGAAACTCACAAAGACTACCGGTGATGTTGTCAGTGGTTTCTAACTTGTCCACATCCCATCATCCAAAGGCTCTAGCCGCCAGCGCGGCGGACACTGCCTGAGAAGCCTGGTCGAAGACAAAAAGCTCCGCCTCGCGCAAAAGTCTCAGAGCGCCTTCCACATGTGCCATGTTCGAAACTTGGTTTGGGGCCATGGTCATGGCTCCCTTTACAGGAAGGTGGACAAGAAGGAAGCACGCACCATTCGAATTCTAGGGGTTGATTCCCCATTCTTTTCAACCATCGTTCTTTCCAAAAACCGGCAAATCTTTTCTTCGGGTTTCCGGAGGTTTTCTAGAAGGATCCCTGGAAAGAATGGAAATGGAAGGTCCCCCTAGGACCATGTCCGAGCTAAAACGTGAGGCAGCAAAACGAATCACCCAGCCCTTCCAGCGAATCGACCTTGGGATTGTTCGGCAAGCTCCACCCCCCAAAGGCAAACCAAGAACCGTCAATAGGGGGCTGAACCACTGGTTCGGGGTTTGAGCAATCAAGCCTTTGGGACTCCTCAAAGTGGGTGTGTTTGTTTAAGGTTGGACCACCAAAATGGTGGGTGTTCCATGGCTTTCCTCTTGGTTGCCCTTTAAAACCACCAAAAAAGGGGTACGCTCAAAAAATGACATACCAAAGTAGAGTACTCGGAGAGCACGAAGGCTTCAGCCTCAAGAAATGCAAACCAGACACCCTCTTGAAAGCACACGCACACCAAAGCGGTCAAGAGACCAAAGAACTGACGTCAAACTTGTGTTTTCTTCAAAACTTGTTTCAGGAACTGGCTGTGGGTCAAAAATCGGTACCCAAAAAGGAACCCTGGTAAAGAGAACCAAGGACTAAAACCTGCGGTCTGTCTCAATTTGACCCATAGCCAGACCCATGGAGGGCCACGGGGCCTGGTGGGATGAGCCGCAACCAAGGCCCGCAACAGCCTTGGTCCTTGCTGTGTGCTAGGTCCTCAGGCTTTTTCAAAGTCGTGGAGAACTGACGATGTTCAGCATGTTCAGAATGAAATTCTCATGCATACTCATCATACTCTCCCATGTTGCCTTCAAGAGCGCATTGTGGCTGTAGTTGTCAATAACCGTGCCTTCACGACTCAAAGGGCTACATGGTAGAGAGCTTAGAATAAGAGTACCCTATTTCTTCTTGAATCGCCTATTTTCGGGGAGGGTAGGGCACTGGGGGACCTAGTTTGATCTCCAGCATGCTCAGCAAATGGCAATAGATGATAGATTCCCTTTAAAAAACCAACCGCGGGAAATTAAACATCTTCTTCAGCAAAGGGCGTATGGGACATCCACTGGTGTATGGGACATCCAAAAGCTGTATGTCGCTCTGGGATGTTTGATCTCCAGCCAGCGTCCGATCCTGAGATCCTTCTCAACGAGCGCGCGCGGAGTGCGGAGTGCGAGCGCGGAGTGCGAAGGCGGCGAAGCGGCCAAAGGCCTCCAGAGCCCGGCCGCCGTGCTGCTCCAGAATTGGGCGCAGAGCGGCCCTGGACCTCAGCGAGAGGTCAGCAAGCGCGCGCGGGAGGCGGAAAAAAATCCTGGCTTTTGGGCGGGAAATGAACTTGGAAACCCGGTTGACATCATGTTTGGGTGTGTCTATGTCAACCAACTGAGATATTCCGTAGAATTACTAGCCATATGCTTAAGTTTGGCAAGGGTTCCAACTCGGTGGAACCATGATGGCCAGCTTCTAAGCCGTGAAGTATTTCAACCTCAGCCGTCACATTGCCAAGACGTATTTCCTGCTTTTCTTGGATACGACCTGTGGCGTCCTTGCGTGAAAGCGGCTTGTTCATCTGCATGATCGCAGCCTCATCCTGGGAGCCATTCTGTGAATCGATGCTGAACCTTGGACAGGGCATGGACGCATTCGCTAGGGCTTCCCTACCGTGCCCTGATCTGAGACTTCTTTTCTCGGTTGCTTTCTGCTCCCCTGCTAGAAGATTGACTTTTAGTGGCTTAATGAAAAGAAAACCCATTAGTTGGCAAAAAGTTAAAGTCCTAACATCCAAGCAAAAAAGTGTTCATGCCAAACAAATCCTCTGCACCAGGCCAGCTGTTCACCGCCTGACAGGCGAGCCTTTTGCATTTCACCTGGAAAGGGCTGCATTCCGAAAGCTCGATGCCCAGGCAACGGCCCTACAGGGAAGCCCAGGAAAGCATATGGCTCTCTTGGCATTTCTCTTGGCATTTTCAGTTCCCCCCCCCCCCCGCCTGGGTTGGACAACCCCAGCGCCTACCATCCGAACAAAATCGCGCCACCTACTTTCGCAGCCGCAACTAAGCCCAGCGTCATCAGCACGGTTTGAGGCCGCAAATGTTTGTGGATCGCCTCGTCCAACATCATCAGCTCCACCCCAGACTTGCCATGTCTTTGGGCCAGGGGCAGCAGCGACGGATGCAAAAAGCCTAGGCGACGTCGACTTGTGCACGTGCGCGCGAGAAGCGTCGACCCAAAAAAAACAGGATGGAACATGACCCTTTCTGTGATATATACCTAGGTGAACGATCACCATGGCGAGTTTGTCAATTTAAGGGGGATGCCATTGGTATCATAGAACATGGCCCGACAAACAATGTTCCGCAAGCACGTGCCAGCAGCGGGGATCTCAGAGCATGTAATTACACACAGGGGCGTGCAAACAGCGAAACAACAAACACGTCTCGTGTTGCTCATGTGCAATTGTGCCTGGAAACCTTTACTCATGTTTCCTCAAACCCAAAAAACAACCTGGGTGGAATTCGTAAACGGGGGGTTTCCGCTCAAGCAGGTCATCCATAGGCCTAACATGGCCCAATAGTGAAACTCTCTTATGGATCCCTCAATTTCTAAGTGGATAGGAATTTCTTGTTCACAAACATGGCCTTCCTGGAGCCCTCGACGAATATTTTGAAGCTTCCACTTGCTGAAGTCCCCGGAAACAAATGCAAATAAAATGTCCTTGGTGATTGATTCCCTTTTAAACCAACAGGGCTTCTGAAGCATATGGAAGGACATGGTCGTGCCTACTGCGGTCGGGTGAAACTTTCTTCCGGCGCCCGGTGCAAACGTCCACAGTGACCGTAGGCCCCAGGTTCCAAAAAAGATCAAGTTCAGACTTTGGGCAAGCAAGCTGCCCCGACTCTTGGCGCAACCATGCGCAACCCCAGGGTAGATCAGGAAAAAACATGTTCTGATTCTGCTTCATAGTTTGAACAGTTTTGTCCACCCAAAACAAACATATCTCACCCCCTAAACTGCCGTAAAAACACTAGCCCACTTCAAGGCAACTCACATTTTGGCCCCGGCCCCAAAACGGATGTCTAAAGAAGCCTCCGCAAAAGGAAATATGGGCCTGTCTCAATACAGGCGAACCTACAGAAGAAGGAGCGGTTTCTCCTTCTAGGTCCTCCAGTAGAGAGGTTAGAATAAGGGTACCCTTCTTTCTGCAGTCTACTTTAGTAGGGGCACCCCTCCCCCAAAAGAAGGGTGTGAAAAAGGGCACTACTGGGGGACCTATAGCCTTGGAACACGCACCCACTGCAGATTCGCAGATCACCCGAGCCAAAGGGCTCTGGTCCTCAGTGGACGCCAGATCCACCTGGAGATCCTTCCAGTCGCCCCCCAGCTCGAAGTAGCTGAAATCGATGGCTCCGGTTTCTTGGTCCTCCCAGGGGAATGATCAGGAGGAATCATCACAACTCAGGGGTTCTCAAAGGTGGTGTTCAAGCGGATCTCGTCCCCATCCACAGTAGCACAAACACTAGGTCCTCCAGTAGAGAGGTTAGAATACGGGTGCCCACTTTTTTCTGAATCGTCTCTTTTAGTATGGGAACCGCCCAGGAAAGGGGAGAGAAGGGCACCGATCGCTGGGGGACCGAGTTTTGCGACCCAATTTCCAAGCAGCTTGCGCACCGGCGGTTGCCTTTCCCATCTTTCCCATCTTTCGCCCGTGTCTGAACCCATCAGGTCGGCACGGTCGGCACCCCCAGCAGTTTCTCCGATTTGCAACTTCGAAGCAAGACGCAAATATCCTAGACATCCCCAGTGCTTTCGGTTGCCGCTATGGGTAACCACGCAGATGTACCTTCCAGGTTTTACATGCATGGTTTCCAGTGGAAACTGGGATGGGTAACCACGCAGATTTGCCTTCCAGGCTTTTACATGCATGGTTTCCAGTAAAACTGGGAGCACTGGGATCAGGGGACGCCTTAAACGGCTCTCAGGTTGTGGGGTAACACCTCACAAAAAATGAAGCCCACAAGCTGCAACCCGCGAATCGGGCTTCTCTGATTCTACTTAGTGCTTGAGAGGTTCTTTTGGCTGAACATGTGCAATCCGCGAAAACGGAAAACGCAGGTATGACATAAAAGTTAAATGTCCATGGAAACGCTGTGAGGAGATCGACTGGGAGTTGCTTGCGAGGAACTGTTGAGAAGGTGCGGCTTTTGGCTTCACCGGCAATTAAGGCAAGCCTCTGCTTTTTGAGGCCTCTCCCTCTCTGTGTCACTCTCTCTCTCTCTGTCTTGTTTCTTTTCTCTCTCTCTCTCTCTCTCTCTCTCTTTCTGCCCAATGAGAACGCCGGCAATATTCAAGGCTCATAACCCTGCCAGTTGCGGATAAGAATAGTGCCATCACAGCAATCCTGCCAATGGTGTGCATATTGTACAGTGAAAGGTTTGACAAACCAGGCTTGAACATGTTTTGAACAAGAATCAAACAACAAGTAATGTAAGCCGTTTGACCATGGCACCAGGGGAAAAAGGGAGGGCCCCCTATCAAACAAATGCCCACACATGACATACTAAATGAGTAGATATATAGATTAACCACCAACGTGCAACGAGTCCAAAGTACTCCACCAGACCCGTCCTCACGGCTATTGAAGGAGGCAGAGGCAAAGAATGGGTCCTCCTGAGCCGAGGCTTGGCGCCGAAAGCATTGAGATACAACTCCTGAGCCTAACAAGGCTGAACACTCCCCTTCCAAAGTTGTCATGTGCTGGTGTGCTTCAGGTCTCACTGGATTTCCCCGAAGGTAGAGAGGTTAGAATAAGGGTATCCTTTTTGTCTGAATCGCCTATTTGTAGGAGAGGAAACCTCCCCCAAAACAGAAACGGCAAAAGGGCACCTGGCTGGGGACCTAGACATGGAAACGGCGCGGCAACACCACCGGGGAGAGTTTGTTTTCCCTGTTTCGGGTCCTGCAGCTTGAGGCGCACCGCCTCCGACACCAGAATCTCGCTGCCTTTGCAGAGGTCCTCGCCTAATGCAAGCCAAGCCCAGGAAAGATGGATGAGTCGAAGGGTTCCAAGCCCAGCTCCAAGGTCCCAACTATGTACTGGGTGCCCCTGCAAAATACCACAGAAGCTTAAATTGGTTTGGCCCCCAGACCACCCACAGCCAATTGGTCTATCAGTTTTTGTGGCTGGGTATCTAATTCACCCCCTGGGTTTCCGGTAAGATCAAACTTGCCGTTCGATAGGCAGGCTCCCTCAGAAATGGAGGCATTCACAAGTCATTCCCTCATACTTGGTTGAGCAACAGCAAGCAAAAGATGCCCACGGCAAGGTTGGGTAAATAAGTATGTTGCGAGCACAACCAGCTGCTGTAGCAGCGTAGCAATGCCACCAAATAGTTGAAATCGGCACACAGCAACCTGGGGGTTCACTCAAAGGAGAACAACCGGTTGGATGGTCGATTCTTGGGTTCATTCCAGTTCCCATTCCCTGCCTCTAGGTCCTCCAGTAGAGAGGCTAGAATAGGGGTACCACCTTTTTTTTCTGAATCGTCTATTTTAGTGTACGGGAACCCTCCCAACCAAAAAAGGGCACTACTGAGTGCTCCTTCCAAGCAACCTTGCGCACCGGCGGTTGCCCATGACCCATTTAGTGCATGGACGTTTCCCCGGAGTGGAACGGTGATTCGACAGGGATCCTTACATTATGCACCTGAACATTGCCTTGCAAATGGTGGTGTCCGTTTATTTGTGTGGCAAAAGCCATGCTTCAATTGGGCAAAATGTATGTTTTAAGGAGCCCTGTTCGAAAGGAACACAAAAGCGGCTTGGAACTCCTCTCCGAGGCGCCCAGGACATAGGCCCCCCGCGCCACCTCGCCCAGCAACTCGCCCTCGGCGCTTTGCATCAGGCCCACGCCGCAATGGATGCCAACGCCGTTCCTGAGGGTTGCTCGGTGTTCGGGGTTTTGGAGCCTGAGGGCCGCGGTTGTCGGGCTTTTGGAGTCGGGGGGCCCTTTTTGGAATGGCTTTCTCAGCTTCCCTCTGCTTCAGCTTCCCTCTAATTGCTGGTTGAGAGCCTACAAGAGCCAGGGATCAAACCCCCAAACCGCCAATCCAAACCACCAATTCAGGGGTGCCAAAAAAGGACAGCCCCATGTGTGTGTGTGTGTGTCTTGAGGGTACCCTGTGGGGATGGTGGGAAGCCAGAAGGCTTCAAGCCGCCTCTTTTGAAGGTCCCCCCCGATTCTTGAAGACCGATTTTTTTGGAAGGATACCTCCCATGAAACGTGGAACCCACCAATTTCCGCAACCCCCGCTGTCACTGGGCTGGATGACTTGGATGGATCGCCTCTCGATGTTCGAGAACCAACCAGGGGGTGGTGTCATCCTGGGCGTCCATCACAACAAGCGGAAACTTGGGGCTTGCAAAATGGTGAAATCTGAACATAGTGGTGACTATCCAGCCTGGCCGTTTCCCGCCCCCAGCTGTGTCTGGAATTGGCTAATTTCGAAGAGTGACAATCTCCCCCGCCCGCAGTTGTGCCTGGAATTGGCAAATTCCCATCAGTGACAATCTCAAAAACTATGCACCCCGCAACACGGTGGCTAGAATCCCAACAAAGAACAAACATGCACCCCTCCAGAAACAACGATAAGCAAACGCTGCCCTGGTAGTAGACCTCTGGTCGTACCTGCTACTAGTACACCAATCCAACAATCAAAGGGGACAAGCAAAACTATGAAATTGACCTTTGTGACTTTGTGAAATTTATGAGCAACTTATTCTACATATGGGGTGCGGGTTTTAAAAAAAATGGCACCCAAAAAGGGTTGCCCTGGCAAATGGAACCAATGGACCAAGACCTGCGGTCCTATTCCTGGTGACTGATTTTCACCCATACCCTTCTATGCAACGAAGCCGAGGCAGGGGAGGGTAACTCATCCAAAGACCCATTACTCACTTGCCCAAAGGACCTGCAAATAAAAGGTTAACCTTTTGGCTCTACTAAAAATAGACCAAACAGGGAAAACCAAAAGGTCAAAAGGTCGGCTTTGAACAACTGAGATTAGAATGGAACCCACATGCTCCTTTTTACAGCATGCTCCGTAGGTGTCCTTTTAGGGGACATAGATGGGTTTCCCTGGTAGATGATGAAACCATCAGGTCAACCAGGAATCGCCATCGATTTTTCGAGCAAAACAACAAAGGACACCGCTGCTATGGTCTTTCAGGACCCAGGCAGGTCCTAATGTTCGGGGGGGCAACAGGCGTCCATGCACGCCGAGTGTCAGCTGGATGGCAAAGTGCGCCTTCGCCTCCTGGATGGTGTGGGCCATGGGAGAACCGGCTCAAGGGAAACCAACAGTTTGTTCAAGGGAAACATGCCGTTTTTTTTCCCCCAAGAGAACCCCACCATGTCCCAATAAAACCAACACTAATCAAGGGACACATACCTGTTTTTTGTCGAGGAAGGCAACAAAGTTCAGTAAAAACCGTCCATGTTCAAAGCAAGCGCACCGCTTTTTGATGCCTTTTGCAAGGGAAACCCCCCAGTGTCAAGGACGCCAACCATCTTCAAGAGGACCGCACTGTTCTTCCCAAGGACGCCAACAAATTTCAAGGGAAACGCACGGCTTTTTTCAAGTAAACAAACCATGTGCCAAGGGAATCAACAAAATCAATCATACTTTCCACGGAAAACCAGCCAATTTTAAGGGAAACGCACCGCGTTTTCTAGGGAACCCTGCCATTTCAGGGAAAGGCCCCCCCCCAAAGGTACCTCCAGCGTGGCATTGGTCTTCTGAATGGCCGCCCGCAGCTCGAGCGCCGCATGGGCGGCATCGCAGGCGCTAGGAAAGGCCACGATGAGGTTGTCCGCCTGAAGTGCGAGTCACGGTCAAAACCAACCGACCGACCAACCAAGAACCGACCAACCAACAAACCAACCCACCGAGCAACCAACCACCAGGGGGTGGTGTCCTGGGTTTCCATCACAAGCAGAAACTTGTAAAAGGGCACGACCGGGGGACCTAGAAACCCAATCAACCCACCAACCAACCAACCGGCCGACCGACCGACCAACCAATCAACCAACCTTCACCAGGTAGACTTAAGTCGCTCGGCTTGTCTAGAGTCGCATCGCTCGAGCGTGGCCAGCGCGGAAAGCATCCCCAGAGGCAACCAGCCCAACTGTATGTGCTGGAGCGGAGTCCCGCCGAAGCAGCGTGGCCGGCGGGCACACACAGCAGGGCATCAGCTGCATGCTTTATGGTTGCTGCGCGGCGCACACTGTGGAGGCATGTGGAGGCATGTGGAGGCGCGTGGCCAGTGTGATTGAAAACTGGCGTGGCCAGTGGAAAACACATGAAATGTTTAGCAGAAAAATAATCACATAGTTTGAGTAATTCGAACGGCGAGTTTTGCGGCAGAGCGCGGCGTACACTGTGGCAGCGGCCACGCCAGTGTGAATTGCATTCCCACGGCTTGCTTTGGAACTCAGCACTTGACGACCAGTAAACTAGCGTGGGCACTGGGGAAGCTCACACAAACTCATCACTTCTTCTCCAGCTGCAAAACCTGCTCTTGCCTCGGCGTGGGCTGTGGAAGCGCGGCCAGGTTTGGTGCCTAGGTCCTCCAGTAGAGAGTTTAGAATAAGGGAACCTTTTTCTTCTCTGTAATTAGTCTATTTTAGGAGGGGAACCCTCTCCCACGTCAACATCACGATGCGTAATGTGACTTCGCGGGTTCAGTGGACCAGCCAATATCCTTCACCAAGCAAACACGGCTTTGCTACGCTCGAAATAAGCAAGGCCCAAATTCATGAACTTTGGCAAAATTGATCCCACCGAAAACATGTAGGCCTTGCAACCAAATGAAACCACGCAGAGCCTACGTCGATCGACCTCCCGCCCACGTCTCCGGATGCCTCTGTGGTTATGTGCGCAGCCTTGTATCTGTGCAGAATGGGAAGGCACAGCTGCCTCTTCCGAATGATGATGCTCGCAAAGTGGATTATGCCTCAGGGCATCTCAACACAAACTCACTTCAGTGTATTAGCCAACCAAAAAACGGTACCCAACTCCTTTTTTTCAACCACCAAAAAGGTCCTCAGGCCGGCGAAGGAAGCCCCTCTCGAAGCTTCATTTCGGTGGGCTCCCTCAGGGGCCCAAAAGCTGCGAGTCGGTGGCTTGGAGGCCGGAGGTGTGAAGCGACCAGCGCCCATGTACTACAAGAGCACCACTTCGGAGTTCCAGGTTGCGACAAACACACTCTGCGCATGGGCGCCTCGACCTCTGTTTTTGAAGATCGGTTTGTGGGCGGCCGTCTGCCCGGAAAAACAAAGATGTTTCTTTCGCGGGACGTCCTGGTAGATCAGTCATGCAGCCATGCAAACGACCAACTCAGGCCCATTCAGGCGCCTCCTTGCGGCGAAAAACCACGCTCAAAGCAAATTTGGGTATGAAATAACATAAAGCAACGGGGAACGGCTTCTGGGTTGCAGTTACCAGTTACCAGGGTTCCATTTTGGGTACCTATTGTTTTTGGCCCACAGCCATTTGGAAATCTCAACACCCAAAACCAGTCAAACACAAGTGTGTGTGGCCAAACTGAACCGCCCATTGGCGCGGCGCGTAAACAACTGCTGCAGCACGACCCAAAAGAGCAAAATGCTGCGCATCCCAAATTGACTCGGTTGCTTTCTGCGAAGCACTGCTATGACTTTTAGTGGTTTGATTCGGAAAACTCATTAGTTGGCAAAAAGTTGAAGTCCTACACGGATCCTTACATTAGACACCTGAACATTCGCCCTGTAAACGGTGGTGTCCATTTATGTTGGTGGAAAAAGCCATGTTTCAAACGGGCAAAATGTAGCTTTTAAGGAGCCCTGCCCTAACGTCCCCTGGCAAAATGCACCAAAGCAAAGCTACACTCTCCGAGCCTAAGGGAAGCAACAGCGCACCAAGGCTAAGGTTGCTTGTGGCTACCTCAACTCCCCAGTCACCAGGTCGACAGGAAACCAAACGTCCTACGTTTGGGGGACACATTGCTAAGAAATCAAAGCCCACAGAAACGGAAAGGCTGGAAACTCAAAGGTCGAAAGGCGAAAACATCTGGCAAGGCCATATTGTGAACCCCCCAGCGACCCTCCAAGACCTGTGGCTCACACCCAAGTTGAAAGCCCTGGCGCCGTGCTTCTTCGTGGTGGAGGTAAAGCCCTTGAGGTCAGTGACCAGCACCGTCATCTCTGTGTCATAGACCCGGCCTCAACAGACGGGAGAGCGCTGGAAAACAAAAGCTGATCGTTTTGTGCTATTGTTTTTCTGTTCGTCTTCTTCTTCTTCTGCTTCTTCTTCTTCTTTTTGGATGGGGGGGAGAGCGTTGTGGCAATCTGACTTTTGTGACTCAATCGGGGAGGGAGTACTGAAAACCTCGAGATAAGGACAGCTTTCGAGACGCATCGTGGCAGCAGAAGAAATGTTATTGCAGATGTGGCCTGTGGCCCGAGCCAATAAGCGTGAATTTAGCAGGCAAGCCTAGGTGAAGAGACCCACTGCTGGGTAACCCGACATTCAAACACCGGCAGCACACTCAGCACCCTCGGCACTGTCCGCATTGCGCATTGGCGGGCAACAGGTTGCGTTCGTGATGTGCCAATTCTCAGGGAAATATGGGGGGGGAACAAGAAAACAAGCCCCTTCAAGCTACTGTGAATGGTTGCGAAATCCATTTCGCACCACCTACTAAACCCTGGAATGACGATACCCCTGTAAATACCATGGTTTCAACCATGGTTTCAAAGTGGTGCGAAACGGACTTCGTCCATCCACAGTATGAACCGGTGCTTGGGGATGGCGTTCTTCGCCCTGAGCACAAGCAGCAGCCATTTTTGCTCATCCCACCCCCGCGCTGAGGCTCTGATGGCACCCTCCTCCTTGACCTCATCCACTGGAAGGAAGCGGTTACGCCTCGGCCGAAGCCACTTGCGATCGGCCCATGGGAAAAACGGCTGGCCATAGGTGGCCTTTTGGAAAAATAGATGGGTTTCCCTGGTAAATGGAACAAAACCCATCTAAACCAGTGCCATCTATTTTTAAACCAGGCTTCACCAGGCTCACCTACAAAAGGACACCTATGTGACTGGCTTTTTGGTTGTTCATTACCCAAAGGCTCCCGATTGATTTAGGGCCTTCGAACAACCTGGTTTTGACACCCCCAACAACTTCCAGGGTGTCTATTGAAAGCCCCAGGAGCCTCTTTGGGTCCTTAAATAGCAAATCGGGGGATACAAGGCAAGGTGGCTCTCACAAAAACATACCCTTGGGGTAGCCCAGAAACAAACATGTACCTTGAAATATGTCAACATAGTCTGCAACACGACTCTTCAAGTAATCCACGAAAGCCTTCCCTTGGAATAAACCGCAAAATGTTGCCGCAGGAGCCTACGCTTGGGCAATCCCCAAAAGGGTAGGCGTTTTGGCATTCATGGGCCAAGGCGCTTCTCAGGCAGCGCCCGGTCCCGCCAGGGCCGTCTCAGCACCTTGGCCTTGACTCTGAGGACGCGCGCGCAGCAAAGCTGCTGCCAGCCTGAAAGGGTTGGGTCGTTCGACGGGGTTTTTAGCTGTCCAGCTGTCCAACTCCTGGGGCAATTGCAAAGATTTTGTTTTGGGGACCCTTTGGTGGACACCATTTAGATGGGAACTGAAGTCCACACAATAACGCCCGTAGTACTGGAACTATGGGAGAAGTTGGCTTTCTTTGAGAACCCTCAGTAGAGAGGTTAGAATCAGGGCACCAACTTTTTTTCGGAATCGCCTATTTTAGTAGGGGAACCCTCCCAACCAAAAAAGGGGAAAAGGGCACTACTGGGGGACCTAGTTTTGCAGCCCCCCGACTTTGAATGAACATCAAAAACACATGCAAACACCTAAGCACAATGCCAACATCTGCCATGTCCCTTTGGGGGTGACTTTGATGTTGCGAAAATTTGGAGAACAGAGGTGGGAAGATTACCTGGTAACTGTCCTTCTTGGTAATTCCCACCTGTCCACTTCCATGATTGGAAGGGTAAGTGCACGCTGAGTTTTGACCCAAAAGAGGATATGTCCATGTGCCAAGTCATTGTTACTCACTGTGGTGTTGTGTCTTGTTGATGGCAGCCTCGGGCTAATAAACCCATCCGGCTAATATGGGGTGTGTGTTTCAAGATTTCCGAAGGATTCCCACAAACAAACACCCCATGCCATCCCCGCTGTTAATCAACTAGGTGGCTGATTTCATCAAGAGCGTCACCCAAAGGCAAACTTACCATTTGCCCCTTCAACCCATGGTTTTGGACATCCAGGACAACCCATTTCAATGGAAGCACAATTTCATCAGGGTATGGAAGTTCGAAGACGCACTTGCTGGTTCTCACAGGGAATGAGAAATGGAATGCCCCCTATAAACCATCCCCTATGATTTCCTTTACCTGGGAATTTCCAGGTTCATTCCCAAAACCCGGAAGGGCATTTCCTACTGAGCTCCAGCAAGAGCAAGTGGGCAGACTATGAATCTGGAGCTATGGGGGCTGCTCTGCTCCAAGTTTGGAGCGCGCCGGCCTTTGGCGCCCTCCGTGCCACAAGTTGCTTGTGCTTTCTTTTGCGGAGTGGGAGAATACGCATGTCCCCAAGAAAATACATACTTTAAGTATTAAAGGTTCAAGATCCAACCATATGGCCAAGGGAATCTAGATGTTAAGGTTGAGAGTAGTAAACTCCTATCGGGAATCAAATTGTCCATCACCACCTGCAAGTTTTAGAATATCTCAAGCCCTTAGTTCAGGAATCCCAAGCAAGCACCCGCATCATGTCTTTTGCTGGTGTAATCACCTGCCTGAGTGGGTTGAAAACAAAAAGTCCGCACATCTCTGAACATTTGGTTTCACTCAAACTGGTCTCCCGGCCATCCACGGGCGCTTTTTGGGGACCTCTGAAAACACGGACCAAGATGGGCCAGCCAAAAGCGGTCCAAAAAACGTCGGCTTTTAGGACAGAGCTGAGCTGAGTTGTCCGGTCCTTCGCGCCAGGAGCCAAGGAGGCTCCTCTCCGGCTTCAACATCCAAGTTGTTTTCAGCTCTGAGAGTTCTGACACTGACCTCCTGTGCTAACATGCCGGTGCCAAAAATTATCCGGTGCCGATGGGAGTTGCGATATCATAGCGCAAGGTGCACTCGCTCGAGGCTCGTGGCGGTGTCCGATTTTCCCGAGTTCGACGTCTTGCGACTTTCAGCCAAAGGCTGCTGAAGCGGCCGAGCGAGCCAGATTGGTAACATGTTCCATCCGCATCCGCAAGAGTCAAGCCCATCTTGCCAGCGGCAGCGGCAAGAAAATCGAAACTCTCACAGCTGCTAGCTTGCAAATCACTTCCCGCGATCCTGCTGCTGAACATTGGGGTGAGAATCGTTGAACACTTGCTGGAAAGGGCACCCAAAGAGTTCCATTTTTTTCAGCTTCAGATCTGGAGAGGCTGTGTTGCATTGACACTCTGCAAAAGCTCTGCCCCTTTGCGGAACCTCAAAGCTAGACACGCTCGGAAATGAAACCACAAACACATACATCTGGGTGAAATATAATATTTGACCAGCCTGAAATACGGTGGCCATTCCCCACATAAACCACCATTTGGGGTGAGGTCGTGTGAGGTCGTTATGATTCACCCAGATACATGCAGAATCATTCATATAAACATTTTTATATCACCTACTGACACTGATCCACGTTGTGTTTATCGAAGTCGCGGCCTGGTTGCAGCACCATTGGACCATTGGCTGCCACTAAGTTCAGTTGGCGCTTCGCACCCCCGACGAACGAAGACTGCTTTGTGATGACAATTCCTTGGGGCGAGCTAGTTACCACGGGTGACAAATTCCCAAGTTGTTGCTGACGGACTGGCATCTAAAGTTCTAGCACACGGCCTCGCCCTCCCACACAAAGCACTGAGCTGCGATCCGCTTCGCGTCCTGAGAGAAAGCCCGTGCACAAACCAAAGACGTTATGCAGCTCAGCGCATAAGTAGATGCTGATGGCCCGTTTCGTTCCTTGTTGCGGTTTTCTGTGCTTTCACCTGAGTCCTAATCAAAACCCGGTATTATAATGGTCTACCCAGAACCACTAAAAATAAGAAGGCGGCCCCTTCATCTACCCGGGTTTTGATTGTGGCTCACCTGGCATCCGCTTGGAACTTTGCACCCTTTGAATATCACCCCCGCCAATCCGTGTACCCTCACTTCTGTGTGGATTGGCCACAGCAAGTCGGAACTTGCTGCTTACCACAGACATGGTCTTCCCCAAAGATTCCTAAGTGAGATCACTTCTTTCATCCATGACTTTTGCTGTACCAGCAAATGACAACGAGAAGGAACAAACACCCACATCGCAGTTACCAAATGGCTGTGGGTCAACAATGGGTACACAAAATGGACCCTGCTAAATGAAACCAAAGACCAAAACCTGCTGTCTCCTGGTGGCACCCTGTGCTTACACAACTCCTGGTAGCTCCGAAACTGCAAAACTCCCTCTCTTGGATACCCCCAGCTCCCCAGCCGAAGCGGCTCCCTTCCAAGCACCAGCTACCTGGAGAGTGTCAGCACTTTGTTTGTTTTATCCCCCAGTCCTGGCGTGCGGCTCGGCCCATGTCACCAAAGCTGGACGCCCGGATCATGGCCTCGAGCTGGGCTCGAAAGGGGCGGCTCGAAAGACAGGCGGGTGGTGTGATTTTGTTTTGGGGACCCTTTCTCTCTCTCTCGCTCTCTCTCTCCAGCATCCTCGAGCAGGTCTCGCTCGTCCCGGGTCAGGGATGCGAAAATAGGCGTGCCCGAACTTGGAAGCTCAATCAAAGTCAGCGGCAAGCCAGGGCCCTTTGGTGGACACCATCTAGATGGGAACTGAAGTCCTCGTCAAAGACGCTTGACAATAACGCCCGTAGTACTGGAACTACGGGAGAAGTCTGCTTCTAGATCCTCCAGTAGAGAGGTTAGAATGAGGGTACCCTTTTTTCTGTAGTCTATTGTAGTAGGGAGCCCTCCCCAGAAGAAAACGGGTAAAAAGGGCACTACTGGCGACCTAGAACCAGCTAGACGACGCGAAAGCTGGGAAAAAGCGGCGGGCTGAGTCTGCCAATTTCGGGAGGGGGGGGGGAGTCTATCTTCAACAACTCGTGGACGTTTTGCGTTGTTCACATCTCTCTGGTAACCCCTGCACACGCACTTTCTGGGGGTCGACCTTCAAAATCGTTTTTTTTTTGGCCCTGCACAACTGTTAAACGGGGGAAACCTCTACGCCCTTGCTTGGAGTGGAGAGAGAGGGAGAGAGAAAGCGAAAGCGAAAGCGAAAGCGAGAGCGAAAGAGAAAGAGAGAAAGAGACAGATCAAGAGAAAGATAAAGAGAAGGAGAAGGAGAAGGAGGAAGAGGAATGAAATGAGGCATAAAATAAGAAAGAGCAAGAACAAGAAGAGAAAGAGTGATTCAGTGCTGCATTTGCCACTTTGTTGCTCAAGCGCCATGAATGCTGCTCCAGAAAGCCTGAGAGGCACGGTGAAAGCCTGGCAAGCAAAGTGCTCTCCATAAACTGTCGGACATTGTCGTGGATTGAATTTGATCCCCGGCTTATGATTTAGGTGCTTTGTTCTTGCGAGTGCCCTTTTGGGGGCAAGCAAAAGCCACAACGGCCACTTCGGGGTTCTGTATTGAGGCTCTCAACAAAACACCAAAATGACTGTTTTGCCTGTGGCTTTCCTTGAGAACCAATCAAAAGGAGCACCAAGATCAGAAACGCAGAAAGAATCCCCTTCCCATCAAACCTCGTCTCCAATGACCTCTAAAATATGTTCAAAAAGCCCTGTCTTCCACAGTCCTTGCCATGGACATCATTCACAGGGGGATTGATGTGCATCGACCAGGGAACAAACGGTGCTCTAACCATTGCATTTCACAGGACAAACCTCAGCCAACCCAGCTACTAAGTTCCAGACCTTTGTATCAAGGCCATACCATCTAAATCCGACTTCTGGACCTGTTCCTCAGCCCAAAAGAATCCGACCCCACAGGCCACTCGGGTCCCAAAGTTGGGCCCCAGGCCCCCGGGGAGCGTGATGGGCGACCCGCCATGGACCAACTGTCCCGCGTCCCGTCAGGTACTTTGAATTGAGTGGATACCGATTTTACTGGAAGGAGCCCGCCTAAAACGGCAGGCTTCAAGGGGAAAGGGAGGCCTTGCTTTTTAATTTGCTTTGGTTTTTTGAGAAGGTCGAAAGGGAGGCATGTCATGACATAGCTTGCCTTTTGCTGCGTTACACCCAGTGCTCTTGGCCAGCGTCACATGCGAGTCATTTTCTTGCAATCGAGGTGGTTCTGTCCAGCGTTCTCTTGCAAGGAATTTTCACTGGACTTGCCGAAGCTGGGGTAGAGGCTGCGGCTGGGTGGAAGCTGGGCCATTCGGGCCCCATCGTTAAACAAACGCATCTCCTTGAGCATGCCGGCGACATGAAACGCCTGCAAATGAGCGAGCTGCACTCTGGCAGGGGCAACTGTGCAGTGCTAAGGGACACCAGGGTTGAAACAAACAGCCCTAGAGACATTCGCAAGGTTTGCCGGCGTCCTACTGAGCAGAAACAAACCCATGAGGCATGCGGCGCGCAGTCCTTGTCCCACGCGCGGAATGCCAAACCACCGATCTGCATTCTTAGAGGCTAACTGGTGGGCCTATTAGGGTGTAGCTACCCATTGGTTTAAACATGTTAAAACCATTGGTTATGATGATGAATTCTTGTGAAGGTGGCGTTTGAACCATATTTTGCCCCACCCTGCTGCCTATCGCACCCCACCAGGTCGCTGCGCAGCTTTTGCTCCAGGTGCTTGTGTCGGGTAGGCGACTTTGGCCCAGTTGGCAAGTTGGAGTTGGCTGACACCTGCGCCGCAGAAGATTCTAGGGGGAACTTCCATTTCCATTCTTTCCAGGGATTCGGATCTTTCTAGAAAACCACCCAAAACCCAGGGGAAATGGCGATCGGATTTGGAAAAGAACGATGGCTGCAAAGAATGGAAAAGGAATCAACCCCTAGAAAAATAAATAAATATATATATATATATATATCCAAATGCGGGTTGATATCGCATTTGAGATGAGGTCGGCAGCCAGAGGCATTCTTTGTCCGGATACATTGGCCCAAGGCCAGGGCTTCTCAAGGCTGGGTGCTTCGCGAC